GATAGGGTTGACGAGCGTGTGGACGGCGATTTTATGCCCCGTGGTCGCTACGTTTTGAAGCGGTTGAGACACGGGGGTAGGCGGGATGACAGTACTGCGTCTCGTGTACGCAGATGTCGTGTCCACATTTTGATCGACACGGGGGCACGTGACATGCGGCAGGACCCGGTTGCCGTGTCAGAGGACGAGATGGGAGATCTTTCCAACGAGACGCAGCGCGACCCGGTTCATGCAGAGGAGCTAGCCTCGAACACTGATGTAATAGTGACGGAGGAGGATATAGGGTTCAGGATCACTCATCCCCGGTCGCCAGCGCCGGTTGTTGGCACAGAGGAGGAGACGGAGTTCGGAGGACCCGGTCCACTCCGCCAGGCGCAGACTCGGTGCACTCCTGCAGGCGCCCCAGTCCACTCCACAGGAGCGGGTTTGGAGGACGGCGAGGCACGACGTGAGCCGCCTCCTCACACGAGTGACGGCGGTCTAGAGGAGGGAGAGGTTGCACCCACTCCCACTTGTGGAAAGGACGGGGAGGACGAACGTCCTCCGACGGACCACCACGTCGGCCTCGACTGCCCGCCCGACAGTCTTCCGCCCACCGACGAGCTATTCACCATGGATTCCGCCTTGGCATCTCTGCCCGATATATCGCTACTGATATCTCCCACTTTGCCGGTTGTGGCACCACCGGAGCCTGCTAGACGAGAAGACGCGCGTCGTGACAGAGGGTTCGACGAGTTCGGCGGCGACACGATACTGCATCCTCTAAAGTCCGGCACTCCCGCCATTTTTCATGTCGGTGCACCGTGGGCGGTGGAGCAGGGGTTGGCGATCTGGACCGTCGATCCGGTCCTTAGATTTCTTACATGGCGCGGGCGATAAAGGCCCTAGGCTGGTAGGACCGACAACAGCTGGTTCCCTTAGCGTTTTAATAGTGTAGGGAAATAAAGATTTGGTAAGTCACCCAGTCTATCGCTCAAGTGGTGTCAACAGAATGTACACAAACTGAGCAAATGATCTAACTCCTACTTCGATCAGTTCTCAAACAACAGCATCAAGCAGAACTGGAAATGGGAGACTGGTACAGTTCTAATCTAAAGTTGTCTGTAAGGTGTTAGGAGTTTGTAACACCACAACTAATAAAAAATAAAAGTAAATTACTTGCGCAAATGCATGCATAATTGAAGTGCTAATGATAATAATTGAGCACCAATTGGAACCTTCCCTCCCTTATATCCGATGTATTGATTGCACCAATAGAGCAGTGGTGTCTATGGTGTGCAAACCACGCACCCTTGTGCACAGGTAATGCAGAGCAAGCCAGCCTCGTCCATACTGTTTTTATCCTCGCGTATGTTGCAAGTCGGTCCCCCATAAGGCTCACGCACCCCACACCCCTCTATGCGCAGCAAGAGCTTCGAAGGACAAAGCGGCAAAGCATGGGTGCTCTACTCCCTCGGGTTGGCATGGTGACTTTGACCCGTGCTTCGAAGAATGTCGACTCTCAAGGTAGAGCGCTCACGACTCCTGAACCAGAAGAGGACTCTCAAGCCAAACTCTCTTTCTCACAATAAGAAGAGATTGAGATGGGAAGATAAGGTAACCGAACAAAGTACCTCAAGATAGCTCCCCCCAACCACAAATTTCTCACCAATTGAGCCGATGTGCATTTTGATGACTGGTCACAGCCTTGGTACCTCCCGCAATGCAATGTCAGCATGCCCTTATCATTCCACATAAAATTGAAAATAACAATGTGGCCGAGGATTACATTTCACAGTATAGCCTCATCATCGAAGTAGAGAGAAGAAACCTCCATACTATAAACCTTCTCCCTCATACTGCTCAGTCTCAATGAGAGCACTGCTCTCTCTATCTTAAATACCCTTTGCTTATAGCCTTATACTCAATTGGTGGGAAATGGACCGACAAGTCCCATTCCCGACTCGAAGTCGTGCCTGGTTCTAAACTAAAGAAAGAAAAAAGAAAAGAAAAAAAAAAAAAAAAAAAAAAAAATATATATATATATATATATATATATATTCGAGCAAAATCCTCTTCACATGTTGCGTGAAAACCACTTTGTGTGAAAATGTATGAGTTCCGCATAACGACAGATTGTCGCTGTGTTGCTCGTTCGTCGCTTTGTGGCGTTATACTCCACTCCAAATAGCAGGGATATCTTAACTAAGATCTCCCTGGAAGAAGAGATCCAGAACATGTGCGAGTTCCTCTGACTCTGAGTCGTGGTTTACTCTCAAATAAACTTGAATTTACGGTAGCATTCCCATAATCTTTTCACACCAGTAAAACACTCCGGAACAAAAGCTCAGACGAATGTGATGCTCAACAACCTTGGGTGCAGGCTTCTAGTGCAATCAAACTCGCTTTCTTTCTTGCTTCACATGCATGCAAACAGGTGACACTGTAAACTGGCGATATGCACCCAACTCGGAACTCAGAGATATGGAACCAAGAACGCTTCAGATAAGCTATGGTGCAATAACGCCCAACAACTCTTGTTCGTCGCTGTACTTGACTTCACCGTTCACACACACTCAACTCTAGATCACCCTGGATATCCCATACGCAACACACTCTGTATACACACACACACGCACACTGCACTCACCGACAGCTATGGAGGCGCTAACTGCTGTCACTACCTACAACTATAGTTATGCTATCTCCTTCGGCCCGCTTCGACTTCAGGCGCATCTGCAGACCACCTCGCACAAGACGCTCAAGCAGCGCTTCCACATGGCTTACGCAGGAATTAATGCATGACTGGTCGCTGCCTCTTGCTTTATACTTATGTAGCTTGTTGATCTGCCCCTTTCCCATGCCCTGGGTGCACACAGTCCCACACGGTACTTGCTTGACTAGACCCTGTCTGACTGGGACTGATACCACTGACTGCATGGGGACGCATTGCCAACTCACCGCAGTCGCACTGCCGACGTACTGCAGCTGGCCTCGCCACTTGCCCACTTGTACAAGGAACATGAACATGGACGAAACACATAAATCCAGATTGCAAAATCGCACAGAAGTCCAAGTAGTCAAAGCAAGAGCAGATAGCACAATCGAACCGAGTAACCATCCATTTGAGAACGATACAGAAGAATCGTGAGTCAATGTCCAAGCCCAACAGGGCAACACCAACAGCATAACCCAATGTAGCTCTCTCTCTTGAATGGCGCCAGGCGCCCTAYCTACTCTACAGCCTAACACTACAACTACAGTATGAAAGCAACCAGACAACTTGACGACCAGCGAGTGATGATGTCAACTCCAATGCCGACCTCCCACCTCCACAAGGTACGTCTCCATCTTCACCCACACTCTCCCTTGTTATCCCACACAGCGCCCTTCACCTCCGAAGAACCACCTTCGCCCTCACCTCCTCTGCGCCCTCAAGCAGCCCGGTTATGGCCGCCAGCGCCCTGTGTACAGGCAGCGCCCTACCGCCTAGCGCCTGCCTGTCTCGCACCTCAGCCTAGCGCAACGTAGCAGCTCGCATTCGCGCAGCGCGCCGGCATTGCCCGCAATGGCCAAGATCCCTGCCCACTCGCCCTGCTTGCCTATATGCCAGTGTTGCGTGTGGGCGGCCTCCCTTGAGCCTGTGCCTGGGCCCCAGTGCCTGTTCCCAGGCCCGATGCAGTTGGGGGCCCAGGAGATGCAGTTGCGCCTCTTTCGTCGAGGCCTGCGGCCAGATTCAGATAGTGGACCGGTTTCCCTTTGGCATTTGTCGCCTCACGTTTATGTGCCCAGGGCCTAACCAACTCGGGGCCCTGGGATTTCTGCATGTGCAGAGCTCCGATACCCGGTGCACACCAACCAACTGGCGTGCTGCAACTGTATGGACCCCACTTCGTGAAATGTTTGCACAAAGGGCTCTTGTTGATTTGCTGGCCCGCCTTCACTTAGGGCAGGCACTAGGGTTGCTAGGGCCTTAGCCCAGAACATGTACATCATGGCAAGGCCCCGTCTTGAGGGCTCAATCCTCACATTCCATCCCCCTAAGCTTCGAAAGTCCGCTGAGATGCTTACTTCGCAGGTGCCTTCCCTTTTAACATTCTCTCATACTCTGCCACCAGTTGAGGAGCTGTATCAATCAGTTCCTCTCTGGTGAACCATCGATCTTCCTTTGGATCTGTATGATGCCTGAATTTGACGCGATACTCCCGCTTGGGTTTTGGAGGTCTTCCTCTACCCAATGGCTTCTGAACAGGCAGATCTTTGTGATCCACAACGTCGTCGATGTCCACTTGACCATCCATGGTTGGGGGCAGCATCGATCTCCTTGAAGGGAATTGATCTGTCTCAGTGAAAGGTGCAAGCTTTGAGGCACGAAAGACAGGGTGAGTGCGTAGGTGTCCAGGGATACGGATGACATAGGTAGGACCATCCATCTCATCCCCCACTACATGTAGGACTTCCCAAGGACCAAAATACTGTGGCATTAGTTTACAAGAGATCCCGAATTCCTGTCCTAGCTCACTAGCCTTGACCCAGACACGTTCCCCTACCTGAAATGAGGACTATCATCGGTGCTTGTTCTCTGAAGCAATCATTGCTTGCTGAGATTTCTTGATGTGCTCGAGAGCTTGCTACAGCAACTTCTCATACTGCACACCATACTCAAGTGTGCCTGGAGTTGCAGAGGATCGGTTTTCAGGTAGGAGGAAGTCTACAGCTGATCTAGGCTTCCATCCCAAGTGCAGCTGATTAGGACTGACGTCGGTACTGCTGTGTACAGCATTGTTGTACAGGTTGGCGATGAGAGGCAACTTCTCATCCCAATCATCCTAGTTGGGCTTGATGTGCCTCAGCAAGTGTTGTACAACTTCGTTCATTTGTTCGGCCTGCCCGTTGGCTTCGGGATGATTCCCTGAAGTCATATGAAGTTGACTGCCCATCTGCTCACAGTCTTCTTCCACAGCTCACTTGTGAATCGGACATCTCTGTCACTAACGATTGTCTTTGGAAGTCCAAAATCATGCACCCAGTTGTCCATAAACAACTTGATGACGTGGTCCGTCCCTGCGGTCTCTGGCATGGCAACTAGTCTAGCGTACTTGGTGAATCGATCGATGATGACGGAAATGTGTCTCTTGCCACTCTTATTGGTCACCAGCGTGTCCATGAAATGCATGGAAACACTCAGTCCTGGACCAGCGGGGATAGGTAAGGGCTTCAGCAACCCAAGCGGTGCTTGAGTTCGCGGCTTGTCCCGTTGACAGACCTGACAGGTCTCTACATACTTCTTTGCATCATCTAACATTCCAGGCCACCAAAATCGTTGTACTAGATTAACACTCGTTTTCTTGTAGCCGAAGTGTCCAGTTGCGTCGTGACATTCTCCTAGAAATAAACTACGCAAACTCTCACTCGATGGAACTACTAACCTTTTACACCCGGCCTTATCAAGAAAGAGTAACCCATCCACCATCACAAACTCACTTTCTGTGGCCTTGTCTTTTGCCTGAAGTTTGCGCATGATGTCCATCATGACAGGGTCTTCCTAATAGGCTCCCACCAACGATTGAGTTACTTCCTGAGATACACCAAACTCAGAAACTAGCGCCCCTAGGTAGTCTACTCTACGAGATAGCGCATATGCAACCTTGTTGTACTCTCCCTTCAGATACTCCCGCTTGAAGTCATATTGATCTATGACCTCAATCCAGCGCTTGAGTGCATAAGAAAGAGTCGGTTGAGTCTTAATCCATTTGAGCGTCTGATGGTCAGTTCTCAAGTAGAAGAACCGTCCCAACAGAAAGTGTCTCCAATGGACAAGTGCCTTGTAGAGAGCATAGAGTTCCCTTTCGTAGGTGGACTTTGCCATTTCTTCTATGGCATTTTCTTGCTCATGTACTCAATCGGTCTCAACTTCTTCCCATCCTGCTGAGCCAGCACTGTGCCAATGCCATATTGGCTTGCGTCAGTGGTCACTATGAACGGCTTCTGAGGATCGGGAACCATGAGAACTCCATGATTCATGAGTGCATGCTTCAATCGCTTGAAAGCACCCTTGCACTCATCACTCCAGTCCCACGGCGTGTCAAGTCGAGTTAGATATGTCAAAGGAGAGGCGACTGTAGAATAGTTCTTTACGAAGTTCCTATGGTAGCCGCACATTCCTAAGAAAGATCTGACCTCAATGACAGTCTGAGGTCGTGGCCAGTCTCGAATACCAGCCACCTTCGCATCTTCCTGCCTAATCCCTTCCGCGAATACTTCATGACCCAAGTATAATATCTTAGTGCGACCAAACTCACACTTCTCTAGGTTGACCTTATACTTGTGATGTCGCAGGAGTGTAAGTACAGTCTCAATGTGTTGTGCATGCTCATCGGCAGACTTACTAAAGATCAGAATGTCGTCAAGGTAAACCACGACAAACTTATCTAAATGGTCATGGAAGATCCAATTCATAGCGTGCTGGAATGTTCCCGACGCATTGCAAAGACCAAAGGGCATCACTACAAACTCATACAGACCATATCGAGTCTGAAAAGTTGTCTTGTGTTGGTCCTCAGGTCTTATAGCGAACTGATGATAGCCGGATTTCAAGTCTATCTTGCTATAGTACTTGCATCCCTGCACCCTATCCAGTAGGTCGTCTATGCGAGGTAGAGGCTCTGCGTTCTTTACTGTGATGGCATTGAGGCCTCTATAGTCAATGCACATCCTCAATGTACCCCCCTTCTTTGGTACAAATAGTACTGGAGATCCGTAAGGGGAAGTACTAGGCCGGATCCATCCCTTCTCTGTCAGCACTTTCAGTTGTCGCCGAAGTTCATCTAACTCGGCGGGAGCCATCCTATAGATCCTTCCCTTTGGGGTTTTACTCCCTGGAATGATTTCTATAGCGTGGACAACTTCCCTTTCTACAACTACTGTAGGCTCTTCGAACAGATCAGGGAACTTAGCAACGACGTGTTCTATCTCTGGGGTGTTTTAACGGCCTCCCCTTTCGCAAAGACATACACTAGGTACATACCCTCCTCTTGGTTCTGTTTGTAATAGTTATAGAATGTTGATGCATACAAGCAGCCATAGGTATCTATAATGCTACTGGCTTTCAACTTAGTCAATCTGACTGTTCTGCCATCAGGCAATTTATGTTTTAGCACCTTCTTGTCCCAGTCAAACTGGGGTTTGGCAACCTCAAGGTAGTACATGCCTAACAACATGTCGAATGGTAAGTCGTCGCTAACAAGGAACGAAATCTTATGATTAAGTTCCCCTCCTCCATAGGAGAAGGTACAGACTACGTCCTTGATATAGTCTGTGACTATTATGCGCTCCTTATTGGCCAAAGTAGATGCTACAGGTCTACTAAGGTGTTGTACCCGGTCTTGTAGGTGCAGCCTTTCCAAACAGTCGCGACTTATGTAATTCCGCGTGGAGCCAATGTCTATGAAGGCACCACATTTGCGGCCTCCTACATCAACTTCCACCACGAAATGTTCCCCTCTAGGACCCTTCCTTAGTGCCACCCAAGATTCACGAGGGTCCTTGTTTGACCACTCGCTTTCCAGATCTTCTAAGGCTTCAGACACATCCAACGTACAGAGCATAGTTTGGTCTGGATGAGTCTGCGGGGTGACTAAAGAGTCATTAGCTATGGCCATCTCATGAAGTGGGGAGGGTATCGGGCCCACTTCACCATGAGTAGAAGAAGCTAAAACTTCCACCGACCTCACGTGTTTCCCAAGCTAGAAGCCTGGGAAGAAGATGCCCCCATCTTAGGAGGTATTTTCTGCGTGACCTTTGCGTTCTGGCACTTGTACTGGGTGTGTTCGTATTCACCACAGTTTATACAAGCGCCACGCACTCGGCGGTCCCGCCACACGTCTTGATCAAGACCTGCCTTGACCCAATCAGCCACTTTGGTCTGATTGGAGGCGGCCTTCCCTTGACTCTTTGGATGGCCCTTCACTCGGCCACCAGCCTTAGCCTTGACTACTGCGGCGAGGGTGCTACCCTCAGCGATCTCCTCGCCGTTGTACTCTGAAGCGTCTAGCAGGTCTGTGAGCTCATCGATCTCTGTTTGAGTCCCATCGGACTCAACCATCATCAATTTAGCCCCTTTCTTCTTCCATTCCTGCGGACTCTTCTTCTTCTTTGAGTCATTCTGAGTAGGTTGAGCATTCCCTAGAGTGGCCTCTAAGTCTAAGGCTTTTCTAGACAATGTCTCAAAAGAGTGATACTCGAGGCGAGCCTCGCTGGCCAGCAAGTTCCTGAGGTTCTCTAGAAGATATCATACAAATGTGGTCAACAGGAATTAGTTATCATAGTTGATGCCAGGGACGACGATAAGGTTGTCAACGATAGTCGTAAGCTCTCTGGCCGACTTGAACTTTCGTTGGTCTAGTCTGTGCATCGCATCAGTGGCCATTTGCGAATGTTGTGGATTGTGCCATCGAGCTTCTACCATCTCCATGAGCTGGTCTAACGTGATTGTCCTAGCCCAGTCCGCCATGCGTCGTCCGTACCCGGCCTTTGCAACTAAGCCATCTAGCCATTGGCTGCCCTACCCTCGAGGTAAGATGCAGCAGTAATCACCTCCTCCTCCTGCAAAGTCCTTTTCGCCTTTACCCATACCAGAACCGTTCTCAACCAAGTGTTGAGTTCCTCATCCTTCTTCTCGCCTGAGAAGGTAGGAGGCGGTTTCATAGGGGTCTTAGGGTACCATTGACCTTGCGGCTGTCCCTGTTGGGGAACAGGTTGTTGTGGTGGTGTAGCAACCACCGCTGGACCCAAAGAAGAAGCAACAGTCTGTGAGACTGCTGCAGACGTGCCACTTGGTTGTGTGCCAGCTTGTACAGGAAAGGGGCCTAACATCGCCGTTAACGGCAACGGCGACTGTGCTGGTGGCCTAAATCCTGGCCTTTGCAAAATGTCCAAGATCTGGTCTAGAGTGTTCTGCATAAAGTCCAATCGGCTGTCCACATGCGCATGCAGTGACAGCATATTGTTCTTCAATACTTTCATTGGTTCAGTCAATCCTGACTCATCCAAACCCTCTAACTCAGCTTTGTCAACCTCGAAAGTTTCAAGCCTGGCTGTTCTATTTTTAATTTCTCTTTCTCTATCGGTTGCCTGTTTCAGTTCCCTCTCTAATCGTTCACGGATCCTTTCGACCTGTTGGAGCTCTAGGAGCTCCCTTTCGCATGGGGTCAACGGGCTGCACTGCGAGCCCGCCATTTGACTTGTAGACCGTCGAGAACCTACTGAACTGGAAGTACCCGTGGACCCTGTGGGCATACCCAAATTGGTCCCTGATGAGGATACTGCGGACGATGCAGCAGAGAATGCCGCTGCGCTAGACATTGCTACTGCTCTGCCTGCTGCAGCAGCCTGTTCCCTAGCTACTAGGTTCGCTTCTGCCCTCGCTGCTGCAAGAGCACGGGCTCTACGTTCGGCTCGAAGCCGTGCGTCGTCTCCCGGTTGTAGTGTCTGGAACACGAGCGGGACCCTAAGTGTTCCCGAACGTGTAAGTCTCACATTGTCCTCTCTCCCCTCATTGCTGTCTGATCCGCTCATGAGTTAGGGAAACACTATCTGCACTAGAACCCCCTAGTGGAGTCCTACCACAGCATGTGTCTGACCGACACCTAATTTTCTAAAAATAGTTGTGTCCGGCAGGTCCCCTACTTTACCGATCAAGTGGCAGCCTACAACATTCACAACAGATTGTCAACATAGTCTAGATGTATCTTGATTGGTTCACTTACAACAGCATTAGATAAAACTGGCTATGGTAGTATACAACAGTCCTACTCTAATCAGTCTGTGAGGTGTTAGCAGTTTGTCCACCAACTAATCAAGAATAAAAGAAGACCATGTTGCAGATGTATGAATGGTGGGTATGGTTGTGTTTCCAGTTGAGCATCAATTAGATCCTACCCTTCCCCTCAATCCAACATACCGGTAGGCATCATTGAGCAGCGGTGTCTTCATGTGTGTTTCCGGCCCACCCCTGTGCCCAAGTCGTTGCCGAGCAAGCCAGCCAGTCCGCTCTTATTTACCCTCGTACGGAACGAGCCTTACACCCGGTTGATCTGGCTGATCAGGAGGAATTTTAAGAGCGCCCCCATCTCTTCAGGAATTATTTAACGTCGCCGTCAAGACGACGATCACAGCCAGATTCAATCCGAGTCCCCAACCAGAAATGTTTATAGACAGTCTGGTAAGCGTCTCATAAAAGGCTGGCACACCCGGCAGGACTTCTACAGCGCAGCAAAGTGCCAAAATGGACAGCAGTCATCGCATGCGTGACCTACTCCCATTGGGTTGGCATGGTGACCGTGACCCAGTGCTTCGACCAGGGCCCTTCAGAGGCACCGCCCTTTCTCCTTCCAGATGCTTCCGGGAAGATTGTCATCTCTCAAGATAGCGCGCTCACGACACCTCACCAAAAGAGAGGACTCTCAAGTTGGACTCACTTCCTCACGGTAAGAAGAGATTGAGAGAGTAGATAAGGTAAGGGAACAACGTAC